CCCCATTTATCAGCCTATTCTTGTATGGAATCTAATGTTCTCTGAATTATTTTACCATTATTTTTTATATTTAAACCGCTTTTCCATATGCTGGTGTCATCAGCGAATTGTCCTATTCGTGCGTGAATTTTATTGTAGCTTTTTAGTTTTAGATGAGAGTCCAGTGTGTTCATATAGATATTGAATAAGGTAGGTGATATTACACAACCTTGTGGTACTCCGTTTTCTAGTGTATGTTCATCTGATAGGGTATTATTTATCCGTACTTGTATTTTCCTATCCTGCAAAAAAATGGGTAATAAACTTTAGGATGTTGCCTGTTATTCCTACTTATTTTAGTGACTTTAGTAGTCCCTCGTGCCAGATGAGATCGTATGATTTTTCAAGATCTAGGAACACGGCCAAGGTGTGGTGGTTTTTACTTAGTGTATCTCTTATTTCCGAAGTTATTCTAACTAATGAGTCTATGGTAGATCTATGGTTTCTGAAACCGCTTTGGTTTTCGCTTATTCGATTCTTTTTAGTTATGTGATATTTTATCTATTGTTTATCATAGTTTCTAGTGTTTTACACAGATGAGCTGTCAGGGAGATTGGTCTATACGATGCTGGATTTTCTTTATCCTTTCCCGGTTTTAAAATTGGGTAGGTCCCCGTTTGTCAGATAGTGTTTACTAGATCTATAATGATTATGTTTAAATTATCTGGGCATTTTTTAAGTATAGAATGTGATAGGCAATGTATGCCCGGGGATGTATTTTATTTTGTTTTGAGTGCGTTTGCATATTCGTCTAAAGTGAACGGGATGTTGAGATTTGTGTCATTATCTTCCAATTCATTGAGCTATTCTCTAATTCCATTTATGTCTGTATTTTAATTCGTCTGTACAGTTTTGGTTACTGCTAGCTTGTTGAGATTGTTTAGCTAGTAAATTCGCTTTCTCTAAATTTGTTTTACCTTCCGCGTTTTTCCCTAAGATTGGAATTTCTTTAGGTGGTATTCCCTGTATCGCTTTGATTTTTTTCCATACTGTTTTAGTATTAGTTTTATTGTTTAGTGAACTACAAAATTCTATCCAGTGATTTTCTTTGTGTTTTTTACATGTTGTATTGATTTTATTTTTAGCTATTTTATAATTTTCGAAGTTTTGTTCTGTTGGATTTTTCTTACAATTTTTTCCCCATCTACGTTTTATTCTCTTTGTTATGGCGCAGCTTTCATTCCACCAGGGTTTATGTTTCCGTTCCCTTGATTTACCGGAAGTTTTGGGGATTGTTTCTGATGCAGCATTTAGTATGACGTTATTAAAGTTGTCATTGTATATATCAATATTTTTGACATCGTTAATCAAGCATTGAACTGTTTTTGAATGGTATTTATGATCTATTTGAATGACACAGCGCACATTATGATTTGTTTGTTTTCAAAGCTGTGTCATTCAAATAGATCATAATTACCATACACAAACAATTCAATACTTATATTTACGTTTTCTCTGTCTCTTATGTTCTTTTTTAACTTACAATTTATATTTAAAATCTAAAATTCCCGCCTCATTGACAGTCCACACAAATTCGTTCAATAGTTGGACCAGCGTGTTGTCGCGTGCTGATTGGCAAACAAAGTAGTACTTTGAAATTTTAACAAACCTTTCAATTTTATTTCACAATTCAGTATCAATACAATTGCGTATGGTATGTATATAGGGTGATTTAAGTTTATCAATAGAACTCTGAGCTGAAAGTTAGATTTGAAATTGTTTCGATTTTCCCCGGAACAAATTTCGTGCATGGATAAATACAGTGAACACTTAAAAGCCGACCTAGCCCTCTACGAGGGAATAATTGTTGGAAGTTTATTCGAACTTTCTCTTTGCTCATTATGTGAAGAATCGAGACGTGAATTTATTTGATGATTGTATGGGAATCTGACTACAGTCGGTAGATTCTATAGCAGCCTCGTTATTTGACATGTCGTCAAAAACTGAGGAAACCGTGGCTGCAAGACGCGTGAAACTGATAGCGTTTCAAGTGAGTGATCTTGCGATGGAGCAGAGGGGTTCGTTACAAATTTCTGAAATGTTTTATGTGTGTTGTGACTCATATCAGAAGGTCTGTATCATATGTGTCAGTAGGTCTATAGAATATGTGTATTTCGGACATTTGTAACGAACACCTGTTGATCAGTGCAGTGTAACAGACGATATTTCTGATAAATTGCATGAGCGTTAAAATTGTTTCCATTGACGGCATTGGTGATTTCAACCGATGTGCATTTTGTACGATATTGCAGACCTTGGTCTTGTTTTCGTGGTAATAAAAGTGTTTTTAATTTAATTTTTTATTTTGCACATAAATTTACAATGACATTGTCAAATATCACAATGCCCAGCGATATTTCAGCAGCCGTCATGTCTATTTATATTGGATATTGTAGTTCCGGTCAGTGTTGTATTAATACGCTAATAATTGTGTCTCGTGATGCATGGTTATTAAAGTCCCATCAACGACACAGCTTTCAAAGAGGCTATATAGTGACAATGTCATGCAAATGTAAATATATATATATATATATATATTTACTTTGTGTGGCTTAAAAATAGTTTATTGTTTCGATTCTTCGTAGCTATCTTACAAACGCGAAACAGGCTAACCTGTCAAGCAGTTTATGATAAGTCAGCTCAGCAATTCAATCAAATAAGTCTAAATCATTTAATTAATAATAAATCGAATTTTATTGTATTTTGGTTGGTATATATGATAATATACAGTATATTATCAAATTCGCGTGGTCTAGTATTTCAATACAAATACTGTATGTACCCCTCCGTAAACGGAACAAAAAACAGGGGGTGAATCTTTGTTGATTCTGGTCATTAAATGTTTTCAAGATAATTTTATTGTTGATCTGTATTACCAATAAATGGGATCTAAATGGCAGTACTTAGCGTTTCTTAGGAAGTATTACAATTCGCTTCCAGGTAAGAAATACATATTCAGTGTCGTTACAACGAATACAATGTCATGAACGGGATATTGAATTCGATAGTAATGATAAATCGCCCTCGGGTGATATAACAACTCGAGGGTGAGTAAATCGTAATGCCACACTCATTAATGGTTTTATTATACTTATTATATATGAAATATAGATAAGAAGGGGGCTATACAGGGGGTTGGGGATCAATTTTCCCTTATTCCTTCTTTTTCAACCAATGATGAGAACTCATGTCGGTCAATATCCAAGTCCATCTTTCCCTTGATACATTTCTTTAGCCCCTAGCTACCATAGACTACTCTGAAGACCTCCCGTTCTCTCACTGGACGCGAGCAAACTTTCACCCAATCGATTGTCTAATGTTGAATTATCGAACCTGTAAAATGCCCTTTTACGGTTAGTTATAACTGCTTAAGTTTCGGTATGAATCCACTGACCCGATCATTATCCATTTTGTATTTAAAAAAAATAATCTGCAATATCTCTTTCATTTCTTTTGCCGACGGCAGACAATATCTTCCCCAAGCAGCCATCTTTGTTGACAGACAATCTACCCGGAACATCTCTACAAATTTCATACGATAGTGAACTACTACTAGAGACTACTCGGAACAGGCTCACGACAAGGCGACATCGCGATTGTTTTGTATCGCGTGATGCTGTAATAATTAATCAGGAACAAGATTACATGGATGAGGTATAATAAAAAAAGGTTATGATATTTTGTTAGTTTGATATTTATATTTCACATACATGTACAGTAAATGACATCAGGAACACTTTACCAGTTTTCATAAAGAGAAATATCCGTTTATTGTATGATGTAATTTAATTGTCTAAAACTTTTCCCGGGTGGAGGCGTCCTGATGCAGGTATCATACAATTACGTGGTCATATTTTGCATGTCATTTTTCTGGCTGAAAACATTTTATGATTGGCATCAAAACCTTATGATCAACCATGGATTTAAATGTCTACTTTGTTTGAAGACCTATGCACTGTGTCTTAAGTTTTTGAAAACTGAGTTTTAATTCCTTTATAGTCAGGGTGTTTATTTCTTATGTATGTGTGTAATGACAACAATCTTGAAGTTCACATTTCGTATTACATGTATAGAATAGTTTTGTCTTCTAAGCTCAATCAGTTGAAAATGATTTTTCGACGTATGTTAAATTGATATAAAAATATAAAACAATATATGCACTTTTGTAATAAAAACATAATCGTTAATAAATGACCATCAAAATGTGTTTCCGAAGTAATTTATTATATCTGAGTAGTATGATACAGGCCCTTTCCCTGTGAATATAATGATCTTGTGTATTAGGTTCAAATGCATATTGCATCAAAAAACTATGACTCAAGTCTAATTATAAAATGAGTTAGTCAATTTGTCCTGTGGAGTTGATATGTCGTCAATTTGTCATGTTGAGTCGATAGGTCGTCAATTTGTCCTGTTGAGTCGATACGTCGTCATTTTGTCCTGTTGAGTCGATAGGTCGTCAATTTGACCTGTTTAGTCGACAGGTCGTCAATTTGTCATGTGGAGTCGATAGGTCGTCAATTTATCCTGTTGAGTCGATAGGTCGTCAATTTGTCCTGTGGAGTCGATACGTCATCAATTTGTCCTGTTGAGTCGATGGGTCGTCAATTTGACCTATTTAGTTGCTAGGTCGTCAATTTCTCCTGTGGAGTTGATATGTCGTCAATTTGTCCTGTTGAGTCGTTACGTGATCAATTTGTCCTGTTGAGTCGATAGGTCGTCAATTTGTCCTGTTGAGTCGATAGGACGTCAATTTGACCTGTTGAGTCGATAGGTCTTCAATTTGTCCTGTTAAGTCAATACGCAGTAAATTTGTCCTGTTGAGTCGATAGATCGTCAATTTGTCCTGTTGAGTCGATACGTCATCAATTTGTACTGTTAAGTCGATAGGCCGTTATGTGTCCTGTTGAGTCGATGGGTCGTCAATTTGTCCTGTTGAGTCGATAAATCGTAAATTTGTCTTGTTGAGTCGATAGGTCATCAATTTGACCTGTTGCGTCGTTACGTAGTCGATTTGTCCTATCGAGCCGATAGGTCGTCAATTTGTCCTGGTGAGACGTAACGTCGTCAATTGGTCCTGTTGAGTCGATAAGTCCTCAATTTCCCCTGTTCAGTTGATATGTCTTCAATTGGTCCTGTAGAGTTGATACGTCATCAATTTATCCTGTTGAGTCGATAGGTCGTCAATTTGTCCTGTTGAGTCGATGGGTCGTCAATGTGTCCTGCTGAGTCGATGGGTCGTCAATTTGTCCTGTTGAGTTGATAGGTCGTCAATTTGTTCTGTTGAGTCGATATGTTGTCCAAGTGTCCTGTTGAGTCGATGGGTTGTCAATTTTTCCTGTTGAGTCGATAAATCGTAAATTTGTCTTGTTGAGTCGATGCGTCGTCAATTTGTCTTGTTGAGTCGTTACGTCGTCAATTTGTCCTGTTGGGTCGGTAGGTCGTCAATTGATCCTGTTGAGTTGATAAGTAGTTAATGTGTCCTGTTCAATCAATAGCTTGTCAATTGGTCCTGCTAAGTCGATAGGTCGTCAATTTGTCCTGTTGAGTCAATACGTAGTAAATTTGTCCTGTTGAGCCGATAGATCGTCAATTTGTCCTGTTGAGTCGATACGTCATCAATTTGTACTGTTAAGTCGATAGGCCGTTATGTGTCCTGTTGAGTCGATGGGTCGTCAATTTGTCCTGTTGAGTCGATAAATCGTAAATTTGTCTTGTTTAGTCGATAGGTCATCAATTTGACCTGTTGGGTGGTTACGTAGTCGATTTGTCCTATCGAGCCGATAGGTCGTCAATTTGTCCTGGTGAGACGTAACGTCGTCAATTGGTCCTGTTGAGTCGATAAGTCCTCAATTTCCCCTTTTCAGTTGATATGTCTTCAATTGGTCCTGTTGAGTCGATAGGTCGTCAATTTGTCCTGGTGAGTCAATACGTAGTAAATTTGTCCTGTTGAGTCGATAGATCGTCAATTTGTCCTGTTGAGTCGATGGGTCATCAATTTGTTCTGTTGAGTCGATAGGTCGTCAATGTGTCCTGTTGAGTCGATGGGTCGTCAATTTGTCCTGTTGAGTCGATAAATCGTAAATGTATCTTGTTGAGTCGATGCGTCATCAATTTGTCCTGTTGAGTTGTTACGTCGTCAATTTGTCCTGTTGAGTCGATAGGTCGTCAATTTGTCCTGTTGAATCGATACGTAGTAAGTTTGTCCTGCTGAGTCGATGGGTCGTCAATTTGTCTTGTTGAGTCGATACGTAGTAAGTTTGTCCTGCTGAGTCGATGGGTCGTCAATTGGTCCTGTTGAGTTGATACGTACTAAATTTGTCCTGTTGAGTCGATAGCTTGTCAATTGGTCCTGTAAAGTCGATAGGTCGTCACTTTGTCCTGTTGAGTCAATACGCAGTAATTTTGTCCTGTTGAGTCGATAGATCGTCAATTTGTCCTGTTGAGTCGATAGGTCGTCAATTTATCCTGTTGAGCTGATACATGTACGTAGTTAATTTGTCCTTTTGAGTCGATAGGTCGTCAATTTGCTATCAAAAGTATATTATGCAGCTGCAAATCTGGTTAAATATGCCAACCATTAGTATATTTCATAAACAAATGATAACATTACATTCTAGTTCTACTTTCAAGTCGTTACTCTGTCAGTATTTCAATCAAACTCTCTTATATCATGACTAGCATTTGGACCATTCCCGCTCGATACAGTGTCAAATTCCTTAATTTCGTACAACTCGATATTAAGTTCTCCAAACAGATCGGTTGGATATGTCGTTTCCACGTCCTGTTTCTCTAGCCATCTTATTCTCTGAAAAATAGTGCAAAACATTTTTTTTGGTAGATACTTTTACTTTAATATTTGCTAAAGTTAAAGGCTCAGTTACATATACAGTATATAATGTAAAACGCCATTCAGTAATTTCTTTATTCATATAAGCCGTTATATACATACATGAGATATATTAGTATTAATTTAGAGTTCCAACATTCACCTAATAAAGTTTACTTTTAGAATTGTCCTACTTGGTTTTATGATATATATTTTACACTCCAAGAATAGTTAACCTTATGCTTTTCATTTCGAAAAGACGTACAATAATAACAGGGAAACAAACTTTTTTAAATAAAATTTGAAAAAGCACTGTCCTCGGTAGGGGTAAACAGCGCAATGATGGTAATCGCATAATGTTTGAAAATAATGCAATTCAATAACATCTTGTAAAATGATGTAGTTATTTTCAAAAGTATAAAACAGTAAAATAGAACAAAAACTCTGAGCATTTGCTGTTCTTTCATATTTGCTATAATAACATTCCTTAAAGAAAGACCTGCCGAAGACTTCCTCGCATTTCGACACCCGGAGGAATTTAACCAATATGTTAGATCCCACAGGGTGTAAGACTACGCAGGTGTCACTTTAGCAAATTGCAAGTGACAATACTTAAAAAAACCACCACTAGACACAAAAATAAAATTCGTGATTATTAATATACCTTTTCAAAATCGACCCCAAACTCAAGCCATCGACGTGCCTTTTTGGGTAGATACGGAAACAACTGGTCCCCGAGAGGTAATATGTATCGCACATCGATTTCATCCTTTGGTGGAATGCCTAGAGATCGAATTGAGCAGAAATGATTTTAATGATTATAATCAATATGCAGAACAAACAATTGAAAAACACAATTTTTATGATGTTTCAATAAATTGCATTTATATTTTGTATTTCTCAAAATTTAGAAGTTCAATAACATCTGAAAATATTTTAATGTCATATAAATCTTACACATATTGCATACACGTTTTTCTCACTTCGTTAGATTAGTATTATTTTGTAAACAAGCAAGATTTATATTTCACGATAACCATTTTTACCATGTTGTATACATTTTTGTAAACAGAATGTGATTCTCGAATGCTATTTCTAATGATACATATAAATGACGTCATTGATATTTTCGCTTCTTCATTACATTACGTTGGTGAGGTCACGTGATAAGGCGTCAGAACACGTATTATGTACCTGTGACATAGCTTACAAGAGCACCAATAACAATTGCCATGGTTACTCCAATGACTCCAAACCACCGGAACGAGACCGAATAAAGCTTGTCAATGCCTTGTCTAGGTCACCGGAAATAGAAAAACACAACACTGCCTCAAAATGTATCAGCTACAATAACAATGTTTTTGCTTGCTTGGCTTTTTTTTTTTTTTTTTTTGCGAAAGGTTCCCGGTCATGATAGGATTGAAATTAATTCAATGCTAGAAATATAAATAGTTGTATACACACCGATTGCATCAAATATTATACGGATATAGTGCATCATGGCAAAAAAACACCAAATCAAATATGTTTATCATACACAAAGTTATTTCAAATCACAAAAAAAAGGTAAATCAGGTAAAACAGATCATTATAATTATTTTAATTAAGGTTTTAAATATCTGAACACACTAAATTCATTTAACCGGATTAAATATTACTTAAACTAAGGTTTAAGACCCATTAAAAATGCTGCAAACTCTAATATTTTCTTCATCATTCGCTGAACTGAGCAACGTTTAAAGGTATTTATATAAACAATACTTACGAAACAGTTAACCTTCATTATATTTTGAAACAATAGTTAGCAGCCTAGGATAGGACTTTTGAATGATTGAATTTGCAGTGAATTTCAAAGGATTAAAAAGTGCAGTATTAAAAAAATTCGCAGCTTTAAACAATCTGAAATTAAAACACTGAGACCGGTTAATTTATTTCAGGAAATGTGGTGAAGTTTAAGTTATCCTATTTTTCTTTCAGATTTATTCGAACAAAAGATGAATATCAGTATGATGTTTACCATGGAAACATAAGTTAAACCCATCCTCAGAAACATTTGTATTTGTGCAGATAATCTCCCATCCTCGATACTCCAGGGGTAACGCTAACTTTCGCTCTCCGCACTCCTGGAATATGTCTCCGTGACCTTGTGGATTAAACGAGAAGACTAGTTTAATCATTTGATGAACATCAAAAGATTCATTCGGGTCGTTCCTCTTTGATCTTCCAATTACGATTGGGCAGGTGTTGTTTTTTTTTTTTACCTAAGACCAATCAAATAGCCAGCCACGTGCCATTAATGTTGCTATGACATTATCCCAGGGGCGCAGAGAGCTAGGTGAGCGTAATTCCTGGATCATCGAGGATGGTCATCTCCCTAACATTCTGTATAAAAAACTTAATAGTATTTAACATGGGAAAGCATTCTAGTAACTGTTAATTTATACCTATTATTGATTATCTACCATTTTCAGTTTTTAGATATGCAATCAGTTTTTAACTGTGAAATGTTAACAATAGTTCTGTTCAACAAAAGATATGATTTTTGTACACAATTGCTTACTTACGATGTTATACAAGTTGGATACTACATATATGTAAATGATATGTGAGAGAAAGTATGCTTAACCTTATCAACGATACTTTCTGGCAGGCTAAATTATAAATTAAAGTCTAATAACAGGGGGAAATTATCAGAAACATTCCTGCTGTTATGTAGCAATCCTTGTTTGCGAAAGATGCAAAAATACATGAGTTTTTAAAATGTGTATGCAAATATCGATATATAACTTACGGTTCAATTGAATTGAAAACATCCATTTCATTTTGATATATTACAATCCGTGAAGCTACATCATTTAATGAAACAGACATTGAGTTGTTTAAGAACGATGCATTTGTCATGCTGGTTGTATTTGCCAATAATGTCGAGTCGAGAAAGCAGTTATCTGTAGGGTTTGGTGGTAGCCAAGGCTGACTTGGTGCAGACGTGAAGAAATTTGATCCGAGTGATAACCATAGAATAAATAGCATAGAACTCGTTCCACCAATGAGAAAGCCCTAAAATGGATTAAGTAATAAGGCTAATTAGTACTTTGGTAGAACTCCTAACTCTAATGTTTTGATCATAAAATCCCATTGCAATCAATATCACTTTAAATAGACACGCTTATTTGATTAATTTTCAAGTTAAAAACCCCGAATGAGATAATAACTTATAAAACGTTAAATATTGCTTAAGAGGTAGTAACACGAAAAGATACATTGCCAAGCAGTATGATTCAAAATATCGTAAAACGTTTTGTAATCGGTGATGAATGATCGATGCATGGTGACAGAAATTACAATATTGCAAATAATAACGTCGATGTATTGATCTTAGAAACAGCGATGTTTCAGTTCCTACCTTTTTTGTTGCCCATGGACAAAATATAGAAAGAAAGAACAGGCCAGCGAGTGGACCTGCAAAGCAGTTAAGGATTGAGCTGCTCACCTAAAAAAAGATCAACTTGAAAACTAAAAGTTGACAGTATGTGGACAATAGCATGCATCACCAATACTGATACATGTACATCAGATGATATTCGTCTCTAATTTGACTGATTCAACATGTTGCCAAACTCTCCATTCCGATCGCAAAGAGAAGACAATACAACCAATAGCTATACACGGATGTTGTTTACATTATATAAAGGTGTTTTTTCAGAATGCACCATTTATAATAATAATAAAATAATTCGAGATTCTTATATACCGCTTTATTACAACCTAGTTCGAAGGTCGTCTCAAAGCGGTTCACAAATAATCATCCTGTGGTAATAAGGCCTTTGCAATTAGCCAATATATTTCTCAACTCCCTGGGGAGCATACAGCCGGTGCTGCCATTTCGGCGCTCACTGCTAGCATTCAACAATTCTAGCGCTGCCCAACCACGTACTCATTTACAGCTAAGTGACTGAAACAAGTGAAGTAAATAATCTTGTTCAAATATACAACATAGTACCGTGCCGTGACTCTAACCTGCAACCTTTCGGTCACGAGCCTGTCGTCCTACCACTTGACTACCGTGTCTCCATTTGAGGTTTTAATACATTTGTAGGTACAGACAGATGATCATGGGCAGGCATCTATATCACAAGATTAACGGTGACAGAAAAACGATATAACACAAGCAGTTCATTCCTCGAAAATTACATTAGATATTGTACATGTCACAAACAGAATTTCTGCAGAGGATAAAGGCAATTGCTACCTGACATCACCGTCCGATCACTTCCTGTCTTGACAAAAATATGTTTTATATTATATTTTCTATTTATTCACGTCAGAATTCCGGCCCTCTATAATATGCGGGAAATATGCGACCCGCGCCCGGAGCGCACTTCAAACTGATATTTTAGAAACAAATCGTCACTTTCTAACACATGTCGCACATGGATTGAAAGATCTGTTCTTTATTGATAAGATGAACATCCATAGCATGCCTCAAACAACCAATACAATCACTAAAAACATATTTTTTCAAACTAACTCTGTTTTACCTTAGTTTTTTGGTAGCCCCGCCTTCTAATGTCACGTGACTAAAATCTCGCCGGCCTACGTCACAATGTTGGGAATAACCTTCGGTAACGCGAGATCTCGTCAAGTCATGTGACATTGCTCATGGCCTAATTTCCATTAAAAACATGGGTTGGTATAGAAAACGTTGGAAAATATTTTTCGTAATGATTTTTGAAACATGTTATTGATACCACCTAGTGCATATAGAATAGATCTTTCGATCCATGTGCGACATGTGTGTGAAAGTTACGATTTGTTTCTAAAATATCAGTTTGAAGTGCGCTCCGGGCGCGGGTCGCATATTTCCCGCATATTATAGAGTGCCGGAGTTCTGACGTTAATCGACGACAGACCGATATGAAAAAGTCGATAAAACGTCAGAATAATTCGGACTAATACATGTAAGATGAATGTTTGATCTGGGCAACTACTGTAATTTTTGTTGTCTGTGAAATGGCTCGCCTTTTCATGAAAATACATTTACTAGTAAATAATATCTACTCAAATTATGTTCTGCATCCATGTTATATAAAAACAAGAAAAACAACAAACACATATCTGACGTTAATGCGTTCTATCATAGGATCAAGGTCAAAGTTCAAAATAGATCGTAAACACTTCAAAGTAGTACACGTTGTTATTTCCTGAAAGCGCTCTACATACCTGACTCAGAGATCCTGATACGTTTGCGATCAAAGCTGTTATTGTAACAGAAAGCCCTCCGTAGATTATCACTGAAACACATTTCAGTATGATCAGAGTGCAAACTTATCATATACGGTAGCAATTTACATATGTCATACTCAAGTCAGAAACGATGTTTGGTCTAAGATATGTACATAAAATATTATTAAATATCTATGAAAATGAATCAGAAACAAAACGGAAAGAAAAAGCTTTTTACGTTAAATACTCATACTATGAAACACAAAAATGTTATCTACATGTTTTAATAAAAGACATTTATCTAGACTTAACAAGGTATGGATGGTCGGGTGGCGCAGAGGATAGCGCAGTTGCCTTTCACCAAGGCGGCCGGGGTTCGATTCCCCGATTGGACGTGAAAAGATATCACCTGCCCGACCGCGTGGGTTCTCTCCGGATACTCTTGTGTCCTCCCATAATAAGATCCACAAGCGCTATCATCCCGGCCAACAATAGTGATTAAAATAAGTTGTAAAAACTTGATTCAAAATTGTTGTAAAATAAATAAAGTTTGTATTAATATTATATATATTATATAACAAGTTGTGGAGATCCCATACCTGAAACCTTTGCTATGGCTGTGGCTTTTCTGTCGGACATGTCCTTGTACCGAGGTTTGAGGAAATCTTCCACTGTCTGAGCGCTAAGACAACTAAGTCCTGAGGAAAGTGTACTAAGATAGCAAAACTTTCAGGTATATACTTTAATCACAACAAATTATATTTTTAAATTTGTATACATATTGTTTTGTATATCAACGATGATGTAGAAATGAAAATTATTAACTGTTTTGAAATTTTTATCAAAATTAATTTTACAATCCTATTAATCCTGAACACACCTTATACGAAATGATATGATTGTTAGATCGAATATTTTATTTCGGATGCGTAAATATCTCAGTAAGTTATCATGTGATCAGTCAATCAATGCCTACCTCAAGGACGCACTAAACAAAGAGGCGAGGAACAGCCCGGAGAGCCCAGGAAGCCCGTGGAATATCCTCACCACCATGTGGGGTAGCAACTTGTATAAACACACAAAAAATGGTCTTATTTGAGTGTTGACTTAACTATTAATCAATCATAACGAGTTGAATGTTCTTTCTTCACATGACATACAAATGAACTAAAGACAGTTGCCACGTGAAATCGTTCACGCTTAGAAGTGATAGAAAATGTTAGCGTACTGCTAAACACGTGATAATGGCGACCACCAGGTTTTTTATAACACCAATACAAATCTTTTCCGATAGAATGCCTGCCACCCAAAATGAATCTCAATGTGAAACGCCCCCATTTTTTTAAAGTGTAACTGGTCGTCGAACGTACGCATATTCATATTGCCAACGTCCACTCCATCAGCTTCGGCACCATCGATTTGGACTGTTTGGTCACTTATAGACACACAAGATTACGACAAAGAATGGTTCTTAGGTATAATAGAGTGGCAAGATAATGTGACTTTCTTACAAGTACAAGAACTCACAAACACAGAATGCAAAAAATCACGCCGATTCCACACTGTTTTTGACATCATTTTTTGTAATGTCTTTTTCGTACTCATCGGGTATCGCTAAATCTGCCTCTTTTTATGCAAATTGCATATAGGATAAAAACCGAGATACCACAAAGTTTAACCTTATACGCTTGATTAGTTCGGGTCCCTAAATACCAGTTTGGTTAGAAATAAGGTGAGTAGATAATTACCTGGTTCGCGTTCCTGATAATACCAGCGTTAATAGAAACCTGGTGACTAGATAATTACCTGGTTCGCATTCCTGATAATACCAGCGTTAATAGAAACCTGGTTACTAGATAATTACCTGGTTCGCGTTCCTGATAATACCAGCGTTAACAGAAACCTGGTTACTAGATACTTACCTGGTTCGCGTTCCTGATTATACCAGCGTTAATAGAAACCTGGTTACTAGATAATTACCTGGTTCGCGTTCCTGATAATACCTGCTTCCACGGGATCACACCCAATAACATTGAAGTAGGCAAACATTACTAGTCCCTCAATATTTACAATAATGCCAAACACGAAGAACACAGGACCAGAGATATACAGAATTCTGAAAACAAAACATTTCACAGAAAGTATTATTATGTTAATTGTTTAATTGGCAATGCCTTCAAATTAACTCAATAAATCAATTTTTACTCTCAACATAACAATTGTGCAATTATTATGTTGATGATAAAACAAAATATGATGCCTCATTGCTAATTCGATTTACTAAAATATGTTGACCATAAACTTTAACATTGGTAACAACAATGTTAGTTATGAGAAGTTTGTATAATAGGAAGGTCGGGTTTTCCAAATTTTAGCGCACTAGCCTTTAACCAAGATAGTCATGGGTGCCTGATCAGATGCCAACTGCCCTGCTTTTACATCAGTACTTTCTAGTACTCAAGGTTTCCCCCTTATCAAGAACCCCTGCCTGAGCGCTTCCATGTTGTAAAATGAAAAATGTTTCATAATTTCAGAACACATATGTAAACAAACATGAATGGCATAAATGAAGATCACTAAGAATATCGTTAATTGCATACAATGTACATGGGCAGTTTAACGGACACAAGAGATATCGGTGAAAGCAAAACGCATCTATTGGAATATACGGTATAAAGGTATATTTTCAGAGAAAATGACAGAAAATATCCTGCCTGTCGACGAACTTAAATTTTGATTTTGTTTCTTGAAAAATCTTCTTACTTTTTGGCCTCTTCCAATGTCTTGACTGAGCTGATCCGTTGTACCGTTGCCTGGTTAAAAGCCATTCCGGAATATCCTATAATTGACCCCACGAATAGTGACCAAAAGGTGTGCCGGACCGTCGGATCAGGGTCAAAGCTGTAATTTTAGATAAAGCCAGGGGCCATACATCCGAACTGATTGCTTAATTGTACATGGCTGAATAGTAGATTTGCAATCAATCCCACATGCCTCGATATTTTTTCTTATATTATCACAGTATCACATTAATTATGTAAACACATGCTTGTCGAATTGATTCACGACATAATACCCCTAGAGCTTCGAGATAATACACTTAAATCACATTATTTATTCTACTATAATCTATGTAAATGCAAAATGTAGATCCTTACAGAACCAGTGGTCTCTTTATTATTTTCTTAAAAAGAAATAGCAAAATGTATCAGCTAGCGTTGGTGGACCCAACAAATGGGTTACGTTTGGGCAAACGGACCAATAATCTGTTACACAATGTATGATAATAATTTCACTCTACGATACAGTTGTGTGACGGAACAACGCATCAAAAATAGCGGGCAAAAATAGTGCATACACCGTGTACATGGTGCGCACACCTGTTCGATTTATCAATCGTTTGCCCAGCTCTGCGCTTCTCCCCACACGCTTGTGTGACTGGGTAGAACTGGTTGATCAATTTTATGAAATGTTAAAAAACTGGGAGCTCTTATGGAATAAGGAACACTGTATATGCAGTGGCGGATCCAGAGACCTATCTGGGGGGG